CTGCTGAAAAATTCTTCATTATTTAAAGACGCGAGGAAATGAAGGTTCATATGTCCCGTTTAGTTCTCGAAGGCAATGAGACAGATCTAATAGAGTAATAATAAAGAAACATTGTGTGTGTGTGTGTGTGTGTGTTTTTGTGTATTCGTATTTCTGTGAATTTTTTTTTCATTGAATATGTAACAAATAATTTATAAATAATTGTAATTTTTGGTATTGGTCATACTGGCCTTCATTCATAGTACTTAATAAGAAATGGCATTAAATACTGTGTTTTCACATTAATTTGGTGATTCAGTGTAAATAAATATATTACTTACAATTGCAAATTTTAATGTTTGACTAATCATAATTAATGACATTAATCTGTGCGATTATTTTTTTAACAACAACAGTAGATCATAAATGTACAGTGAAAATATTTTCCTGTCCTTCATTCCCCCTTTTATTTTCCACTTTTTTATTCCCCAAGCTGAGGCTGCACAGGACAAAGTGACATAGTCCTTACATTGCAAAATGGGTGTGCCATATCTGGTGACCCAAAAAATGTCTGGAAATGGATATGAGGGATCCTCACCGTGGGGCATGGAGGAGGGTCAATGACAATGCCCCCTCTTCCCTCTGTCCTCAATAACAGACTTCCCTCTCCCTTTATTTCTCTTTGACGAGCTGTTCCATCATGCCCCTGCTCTGCTACGCAGGGACTTTTCTGAAACACTGAGGCTGAACATTTGGGGTCTCATGGCTTTATGGGCTCAGTGCTGCTTTGAGCATAAAGAGGATCTACTAAGGTAATGGATTGGAGGATAATTGTCTCTATATTAACAAAAAGATTTAAAGGTGGACTTTGGCCTTCCAACATAAGGGATTATATTAATCCTTCCTCATTGAAAACATTTTGCACGTACCGTAGAATGAACAGTATTGAAAAATGATGTACATGCATATGAGATGAAGAATCCGGTCATATCAGTAGCTTAATAAAAGTTGTTTTATTGTACATAAAGAGGGTTCCCTTTGCCTTAATGTACTTAACAACTTCAAAATGCCTTTACATTTCTTTGAGGAAACAAGAATTCAAAGTTAGAACAGATTTCGAATACTTCACAGTACTTAAATTACAGTGTAGAAGTGCAATTAAGAATTAATGAATAAATGTCAATTAGTAGGGTAATTAATTAAAGTTTTGGTATGTGCACTGTATTGAATAACAAAACAACTATATGGACTAGCATCTGATTAGCATTCTCTTTTGAGTGGAGAGAATCCAAAATAGAGAAACGGGCCTTTGTGTTAATTCTCAGAGGAACAGCCTCAGAAGACTCTGAAACGACTAGATAAACAGTGCCATCTAAAGGTGTCCAATGTGACTGTTATAAGCACAGAAGGACACAAAGAACAGAAACAGGACATGTTTAGACATGTAAAATTAATGCTTTTATAATGTAGACCAGATTGAAGCGTCATATTGATGGTATTCTCTAAGGTCAGAATTTGTGAGCTAAATTTTAATGCTACAGGTTTTACATGACCAAAAGTTGCAATACAGGGGCCCACTGTGTGTTTCTGATTGGCCTGCTGGCTCTCTGTCCTGTCATGTCTGAGGTTGTTATTCTTTCAGAATGGTCAGCACTATGGTTAGCTCAGCCTGCAGACAGCGAGGCAGACACGCATCTCAACGCTAGCTTGAAATGACAGAAATAATTTTTGTTTGCTGTCACCAATGATAAGACCTCCTGCAGAACAGCAGTGTGGTGTAGACATAAAGCTGATGCTTTTTAAGTAGTACTAAGCTCTTTGTAAAAATCTTAGTAAGTTGTCTTTGTAATCTGTTTTTTTTTTTTTTTTTTTTTATGAAAGTGTCTCTTTCAACATTGTTGAGGACTTATATTCCCTAAGTTGTTCTGGAAGACTTATGTCTGTTGTTTTTGGCTTGCAACAAACTGGGACAAATTGTTCTTTTTACACTCGGTTAAAGTCATTAACCAACCCCAGTGCAGTAAAAGGTTTTCTTTTCTGATCAACACACTGGATTCTGGTGTGGAATTATTTGTGTGAGGCATGCTGAAAATGAAAAATTCATTTTCTTTAATATTTTGATAAAGATGCTGAAGATTTATCAAAACATGTTCTTCAAGAATAGCTTCTGTTGCAAATACGAATACTTTCATGGCCAAAACAAGTCCTTTTTAAGTCTTTTTAACTTGAGCTTTTTTTTTTTTGTTATCATAGTAATTTCTGCATTATTTAACCCCCTTTTGTTGTAACCTAATTTTCTGAAGTTGATTAAGCAATGCTAAATAATATTTGAGACTTAAATAGACTTGAATAAAATAAATTAATATAGACGTTAGCACATGAAGCACATTTCTAGGTACATTTTTAGTTAATTTTTACAAGCCACAATCATGCACAGGCAATCAGGCAACTATTAGTGGAAAAAATAATCAGCAGGACATGATTTATCATTTGTGTTCTGCAGTCGCTCTTATTATCTGAGAAATAACACATTTTCTTGCTCCATACTGTCATGCTTTGTTTGTCATTCCTTTCCCAAGACATTTATTATAAATTATAAAAAGTCTCTCTCTCTCACACACGATGTCATAGAAGATGATGTCATATGTATAGGCATTATTACATAATTTTATAAAATCATTAGTTATTAGCATTTTCAGTTTCAGCATGGATTAATGTGACTTTTTAATTATTTTGCTGTATTTGAAACCTGCAGTCTGTTCGGTTGTGCTTAGCTGCCACAGCTCTTTGCTTTTCAGGTGTGACTGTGCCAAATTCTGGCTTTATATGGCTGAATGAGCACAGTGATGCAAGAGCCAATGGCCAAATACTTTTTTCCCTGCTTTCTTCTTCTCTTCCTTTATTCTCCCTCCTGTGATTCCAGAGTTGAGTGAGTGGCAGCCTTTCCTTTCCGTCCCCCTCGCGTCTGATCTCTGCACGAGCCCTCTGTTATGGAAAGCATTTTTACTTAGATCATGGGTTTTATGAAAGTTGGTGGTGTTTTGTTATTCTTTGACAGTATGCAGCCACAAACAATTTGATATCACTTCCTCTCTGCTGCCACAAATGACAATAAAACAGAGATCATTCCTAAAGGGTTTAAGACTGATGATGTGTCATTATTCATTTTACAGCGTCTGGACTACGAGACCAGAAAAGCCTACACCTTTAAAGTAGAAGCTTCAAATGCAGTTATTGATCATCGATTCCTACATTTGGGACCTTTTAAGGACACTGCCACAGTGAAAGTGAATGTTCTGGATGTGGAGGAACCTCCTGTCTTCAGCCGGCTGTCTTATAACATGGAGACATATGAGGACACACCAGTGGGCATCATCGTCGGAGCCGTCACAGCTGAGGACCTAGATGTAGGCAACAGTCCTGTTAGGTATGTGAGAACCCCACACACACACACACGCATGCACGCACTCTCTCACACACACACACACACACACACACACACACACAGATGTAGGTCAAATCGAAGCACAGACACTTTTCCTCGCCTTTAAATACATGTATGTATGCACAGCGTCCTGTGGGAACTCCTTTCAAAACCACTCTACATGAACAAGTCCAAGTATACTAGACAACATGAAACAATAACAAACCTGTAGTCCCTTGGGTTAAGTCCATTTGGCAATCTTGTTTTGAGCAGAGTGTGCACTGCTTTGATTCAATCCACTCTGACAAACTTCTGGTGCAGTTTGCAAGCATGGACCTTATTTAATGTATTTAACCTTTTTTTTAGGTCTTCATTTAAATGCCTGAAAGTGTTAGCTGCAATGTTAATGTTAAAAGCATTTGAGAGCTTGACACAAGTGCATTGTCTTTATGAAAGCATTTGTTTTGATATTAATATTTCATGGAGGTACATAAATGGATGTGGTAGTAATTTAGAAACTCTCAGCTCTTGTTAAATATTTCACATCTGTGGATCGTCTATTTGTTAAATTGAGTGTTGCATTTATAGGTTAATTTTAATTGAATTCAATTATTTTTTTCTCTTTCAGCTATGAATGGTAATTATTTTGTATTAGATGTATTGTTATATACAGATTTAATTATGTCATTATTTATTGTTGCATACAAAGTACCTCTTGTGGGATGGACATTAAACAAAGTGGAAGGCACATTTTAGTGTTTGTATCACTGCGCTTGTCTGTACCATACGATTAATTTAACAATTGGATTAATTCAGGAACACCACAGCTGTATTTGTTTCTCCGAGACATGGCGGATATCTCATTGTCTGCATTGACTTCATTTGGAACTATATGGCAGAGCAAAAATACATAAAGTAACTGTCAGTATTGTCTGTAAGATTGAAGATACTCAATATTTACTTTTTGTTTACTATTGCATATATCACACTTTGTTTTACACATAGAATGCTCTATTGTTGTGCTTGTGACCTCACTAAATACATGCTTAAATCGTAGAGTGGTGTAAATATAGTTTTGTAAGTAAATAGGCATTTTTAAAATTTTTTTTTTTTGGTGGGTTTATTTTTCTCTCTTGGACAGTGCGATCAAAATTTTATATAGCTTCTGGATCATTCATCACTCTACAAACAGGGTTTCAGAAGTAAAAATCCCATTAATTTTCTTCATACGTTAACACATTTTTAATGATAACTTATAAACATTAAAAGACTGAGTTAAAAGGCTGCATTTTTTTACTTATTATTTTTAATTACTGTTTAACAACTAAATGCTGGTGAAAAGCTACATTATACCCATGATTCTTCAAAAAAAAAAAATATATATACAGATTTTAGCAAATGGCTGCAATATAACAAAGAGTGAAAAATTTAAGGGGGTCTGAATACTTTCCGTACCCATTGTATATATACTCAGCCCCTCTCCAGTCAGATTTTCTTTATTTAAATTTCTAACTTATAAAACTTTACCAGAAGATGGAATATTTGATAAGGGGTGATTTGACAGCAGTTTGTGACGTCACTAAGTTCAGTAACACTTACTAGAAGAATCCAGTTGAGACTCTCACTGAGGTTTTGCTTGAATAGCAGAAAAGCTCGGGCGAGCAGGCAGAGAGACACCTGAGACAGAAAGGATGGGGCAGGAATGTAACCCTAATAAAGGTCTGGTGCTACAGGAAAAGAGCAGACTTCCTCTTTCTTTACAGATCCACTAGGCAGCTTATATTAAAGAAACGGGGGTCTCTGCAGGTCATGTCACAATACTGCTGCTGTGTTGGAGCGAGGAGACGGGGGATAATTTCACAAGGAACTGCCTTTATCTCTCTCTCTCTCTCACGCACGCGTACACACGCACGCGCGCGCACGCACACACACACACACACACACACACACACACACTAGGGGGAATAGACGTATAAGACAGCACGCAGGACTCATGAAACACAGGGCTTAAATACACATGGAAGGTAATCTGGGAAAACTGAAACCAGTGGAGTAATAAATAAAAAACCATGGAAACTAATGAGGGAACACCTGGAAACAATGAACATAATCAGACACGGGAGAAACTGGGTAATGGAGCACGTGAGGGGAGGAAAACACAAGACACAGGACTGACAGGTCACAGCAGTGGGCTGAAAAGTAGCAGACTAGTTCAAAGTGACCAAGAGTGCTCATACACATACAGACAGGAAGCAGAATGTGTATAAATATTATTCTACAATATCAAGCATCTATTGATTGATTTTATGTATTTAATCAAATGTATATGATTAGAGTTATTTTAATAATATTATTTAGATATATAATTGATATAGTATTAATACAAAAACTAGTAAAAAAAAAAGTGATCAAATTCAGTTTTAGCTTGTGTAGTTGCACAGTAATTATAATGGAAATGTGCTTTTATTTTATTTTTTGACAAACTTTCCTCGTCTGACATCATAAATTTCCATTGTGCCAGTGGATATGGAGTAATTTAGCTAGACTTTGTGACATGTATTGATGGAAATTAGTTTACTTTAATATTCATTTATTTCAGGGCTCTACTGTAGATGGCAGTCAAAACTAAATTCAGAAAGTTTGTAAAAGAAATGAAACCAATTAAACCTACATTAGCTGTATGTAAGTCAATGAAAATCCAACAGAAATTTGTTTTCATTTATCATCTAGACTTTCAGTGTTTCTGAACAAATATTTTAAGCAAACAACAGTTTCAGTCAGTACTCTGCAGTTGTTGTTGTTTTTCTGGCCACTGAAGTCTCTCCCTTGAAGCAGGAGGATGTGATTTTGATGTTTTTATGTTTATATATTTGTTTATTATTATTATTTTTTTTAACCTTCGAAGACTGACAAGCAATACAGTGCAACAGTGCCCATCCACTTTTTCAGTGACCTTGGTTCCAGAAATGTGTTTTCTATTATTATTATTATTATTATTATTATTATTATTATTATTCATAAGAACTTTTAAAAAGTCTTCATTAAAGTTTTGTAAGCCATGAACAAAACCAAATAATAGTAATAGAAATTCAATAATAATCACAGCTAATAATAATCACAACATTACAAACTTTGATTTGAAGCAAGAACTAATTTAAAAATCAAAAATAAAAAGGCTTTAATGAGGGAAGGTGAAATAATGCAGGTTGATGGCTTCAGCAAAAGCATATACCATCTAACAACCTCATAGTTGAGAAGTTTTTCTTCCAGGAACCCAACCATTGCACTCTGTATCCTTATAGGTTCAGTAAAGGAGCCTTATGCACAATTAAAGTGAGAATTAAAGAAATAAAGAAATATTTTTTTTTTCTTTCTCTCCAGTCAGGAATTCAGTCAGAAGTAGAACAAGACCAAACGGAGCTGAACTACATTCAAGACTCAAACACTGAATCCTTTGGGCTAGATCAGTCATGAATTAGACTCAAAACGGACTCACTCACTGGTAGCCATCTACTGGCATAGCCTACAGGAGGGGTCATTAAATCAGAGAAGGAGCCTGAATGAGTCATTTGTTCTGAAAATATATACAAACAATTTAAATCATTAGGAAGAATCAAAGACCCCACTATTAGCTTTCACCTTTCAGCTTGCCACTTATTGAATGCCCCCACAAAAGATACTTAAAGAGATAGTCCACACAAAATTAATTTACTCACCCTAATGTCGTTTCAAACCTGCATGACTTTCTTTTATTTGTGGAAAAACAAAATAAGATATTTTGAGAAATGTCTCAGTGTATTTTTCCACACATCGGAAGTCAATGGACACCAAAACTGTTTGGCTGTTAAAATCTTATTTTGTACAAGTAAATAATGACAGAATTTTCATTTTTGTGTGAACTACTGGATCTTTTTAAAAGATGTTCATTAAACTCTGAAAAATGTAGGTATTTCTGTAACTGGCATTGCAATTAATTATTAACCAAACATTTTATGTATGAGTTCTAATTTTAATCTTCACCAGAGACCTAATGAAATTCCTTGAACTGTAAATGATAAATTTAATGTGGTTGATCCATTTATTTGTTGTTGTTGTCTTTGATGAATTGGTTTGTAGATATTCAGTTGAGTGGAGAAAGGACTCTGAAACCCACTTTGACATTGACCCTGTTGAAGGAACTCTGTCTGTCAGTGAAGCCCTGGACAGAGAGAGAAATACAGAACACAACGTCACTGTTGTAGCAACACAATTTAGTAAGTATGGTGGATTGTGTTTTACCCAGATGCACAGATACAATATGACCAGCCTAAATAACCAAGCAAGTTTACATCCATAATATAACTGTAGATTGAAATGGGGATAAACGTTTATACCAGTCGCATGAACACATTTCTAAAGACTGCATCCCCATCTAGTGGGCAAGAATGAAAATACAGCAGTGCTTCACTCATACTGGCTAAAAAAAGAAAATAAAAAAAAATCATCAATAAAATCCAGTTAAAATAAGAGATTTGTCAAGAGACCAAATAAATAAGTAAATTATTTAGCATCAAGCTGATTTCCTAATGAAAAGCCACAACAACAAAGTTTTCTTTAGATATAAGTGATCCAGCTAAAATCCTTTTGGTTTTGTAGCTACAGTGGACACATTATAAGGATTTATTTGAACATGAAAGCAACTTCAAAATCGTCAGATCCTCAAGAGTGTTACTGGCCATCCATATAACACGTCAAAGACTTTCCAAGTTCTTCATTTGTGCTATTTCTTTCCTTTTTCAAATATGAAACGTGTCTGACATTTTGCAGTTTTCACTGATCTGATTCACTGACAATATTTAGTTTGATCTTTCAGACAACCCCCTGCTGTCCAGCAAAGTTACTGTCACAATCAAGGTGCTGGATGTCAATGAGTTTCCTCCAGAACTTGCCTTTGTATATGAGACGTTTGTTTGTGAAAAAGCAAAAGTAGGACAGGTAAGTGTGTGTGTGTGCATATGTGTGAATAACTACCTGTGCTTCAATTTGAGTTTTTGGGCCTGTTGTTGGGTGTTGCAGTGAATTAATGTGAGAGAACTGTGCCTTGATCTTCTCCTTTCATGCTGAAAGAGAGCTACTCCCATCCCAATACAACGCTGCCTATCAGTGTCTCCATATTCAGTCTTTCATACCAGAGAGTGTAGTTCCCTTCAGGGGCATCATGCACTCATGATTTTTGAGGGGGCACGATAGCACTGTATAACTGATATAGACTTTTTATTCGAAATATTTCCAAACGTGTTACCTATATCAGGAAATATCTCGGTTCTCAAATATGTGTAAGTAAATGCGTTTTGCACCTTTATAGATTGTTATTTAATCAATAAATGGTGATGGGCAAAGTAGACTAGTGTAATCTATTAACTACACATAACAAATCTGTATCTGGCAACGCCAGCCAACGAACGCAGATTTGAATTCAGCAGCTGGTGATATGATGCACTGAACGTTCTAATCACACCGGTGTAATTGTATCAAATATAAAAATATATTATTGGGCTATTTTTTGTCTTTTGGAAGCTGCATTCAAAATTCACTTGGCTCGGAAATCTGAGGGGGCACATGCCCCCTCACTCTGAATGGGCATGAAGCCTCTGGTTCCCTTGCTTATATGTAGAAATGTATGAAATAAATGACACAACAAAGACTTTTCAGAATTTACTAAAGACAGTCAGCTGATCAGCACAAACCCTTGAAGACGAATATATGCAATTTTCATGGGGGAGCAATAATTAATCAAGTTACATGCAGTTACACAGTACTAAGAAAAATTCCTGACAAAGTATTTAAAGGGGTCATATGATGTTGCTAAAAATAACATTATTTTGTGTATTTGATGTAATGAAATGTGTTTATGCGGTTTAAGGTTAAAAAAACACATATTTTCCACATACTGTACATTATTGTTTCTCCTCTATGATCCGCCTTTCTGAAACGCGTCGATTTTTACAAAGCTCATCAGTCTGAAAATCAGGAAACAGTCCTCCAAAAAATGCGTTGGACACATCTGAAAATTTGGGTTGAACTGTTCTGGAACAGTGTTGTAAATACAACTTAACCACTGATTTCTAGTCGTGTCCTCTTTTGGAAGGCCAAACAAAGTAGTTTTGCTTTCACAACGAAACACGGCGGGCTAGAGTGAGTGGAGGCCTGAGGCCTAGAGTGAGCGGCTGCGGGCGGCCTTGAGAATGGTGCAGCCGGCGGATTCGACGAAGGAACGGCTGGCGGGCTTGCAGCACCCACATGTGCCGACACCGGGCTGGACTCCGCTTCGTCCAAGGTGAAAGCCGATCCGGCGATCCACAGCGCGAAGTTGATGTATTTCCTCAGCGACCAGCACGGATCAGCTCCAGGCATGACGAAGCAGATATCGTCCTCTTTTGGAAGGCCAAACAAAGTATTTTCGCCCTCATAACAAAACACACAGCGTCTCGACATGGCGGCAGCAACAATACTACAGCGAGAATAAAAGTTACGCCTTCTTTCTTTGCGTGAACATTTGGACGGCGTTATGCAAATCTTCCCACATCATAGACATGTGGGGGCGTGTTAGAACGAGCCATTTTAGGTAGGCATGGTTGCCTCTTAACTTTTATAAAGAATATCTCTTTGGATTTGAGACTTTAGTCTTTGCAACTTTACAGATCTTCTTTATGCACCAAGAGCTTGTAACACTCCAAAGAGAAAGGAAAAATTGAAATCGCATCACATGACCCCTTTAAGCAAATGGTTTAAATGTATTTAAATACGCTTAATTTAGCTAAGTATACAAATAAATCAATCAATGCTAGCACAGATGTAGTTGCTTTGGCATTTAACAAACTGTATCGTTTAAAACTTATGAATTTTGATTTTTAGGTTTTAGAAGTTTATAGGTTTTATTCATTTCTAATTTGCGCATCTATTCTGAATATGTATAGTATTTAAATATTACTCATTTCAATTTAATGGAAATCTCTCAATACAAATGAAATGTGTAAATCTTAAAGCTGGATTATTTAAATTTATTCATAATCATTTTATTAGTATTTACTAAAAGTCTGACAGTAATAAATATTCATGATAAATATTAATACAAATACAAAAAAAGTAATTTAAATCTTACAAACTTCAAAAGAAAAAAAGAAAATAAAAGAATTTTTTTTGGAGGCTGTAATTTGTACTTTTTCATGAATGATCTCTTATTGTCATTTAATGACTGACAAGAAAAAATATTCATGATTAATATTAATACAAACAAATGTGTAAAAATTGCGTGGGTATGTTTTCAAGTTTAAAACTTTTTCCCAATTAAATATGCAGAGACAGCTGCCTGTGAAATGTAAATGCTAACCAGCAAGACACAAAAACATTGGCTCAGCTGTTTGTCCAACCAATGAAAGATTGGTTAAAGTGTTGAACCTGTTTGAAACCAATCATTACATTTGCAGTTCTTGGTGGTTCTAGTGCCTGGGAAGTAACATTTATTTGCCCACATTTATAGTAAGAAAGTATAATTATAATATAATATGAAAATATGCTAAGGGGATGGAGTACTAGATATTTTTCTCTGCCATGTTAAATCCTGTCATTCTCTCAGAATGCTTGACTTTGTCATCAGAAGTCTATGGAGTTGACAGCGCACCAGTTGTAAGTTCCACCCCATGTGGTTGAGTCATAAAGGCAGTCAGCAACCTCAAATGATCCCTTTGAGGTTTGATGAGTCAAGCATGTCAGCTCTGTCAATCAAACAGTCTATTGTTTTCTTTCTCAACACTATAAGTGCTTTTACGAAATATGCAAGCTCTTTCTGTGGTGTTTTATTCAGTTGGCTGTTCTGTATCTGTTCTCTAGGTGATTCAGATCATCAGCGCTACAGACAGAGACATTCCTGCTGTAGAGCACCGATTCTACTGCTGTCAGGAAGCTGAACTCTTTTTGCACTACAAATCATTCTGCACTGTTGTTTACTTCACTGGTTTGCACTCTATCTGCCATGTGCCGTGTGCTGCTTTATATATTTTTTTAAATATTTTTTTTACATTTTACCTTATTTGTATATTTGTATAGTTGTATTTTATATTTAATCTGTATATCTGTATTTATGTTCTACTGTTAGTGTTATCTGTATGCACCAAGGGTCTGAGAGTAACGCAATTTCAATTCTCTGTGTGTATGTGCTGTACATGTGGAAGAATTGACAATAAAGCAGACTTGACTTGACTAATTGTTTCCTCATTTTAAAATATCAGTAGCCTAATAAAAGATGTTTTATTTTACATGGAGCAGGACGCTGCATGGGTGCCACCCTGTTTGATAACCCACTTGGTAACAAATCTTGGCGACTTTTACTTGCTGACTGCAAATAGAATCTAACAGGAGAGTTTTCCAGAAGAAATTTTCCCATTATTTTTTTTTTCCTTAGGGATTTCAAAATATTCTTCTATAAATAATTATAAGCATATTAGAACAAATTCTGAAGTATCATGTGACTGAAGACTGGAAATATTAGGCAGCACAACTATTTTCAACATTGATAATACTAAGAAATGTTTCTTAAGTAGCTAATCAGCATATTAGAACAAATTCTGAAGTATCATGTGTAAGGGAAACAGGTCAGTTTAGCTCAAAGGGAATCATTTAAGATTTTAAAGGGAATTTGGACAGAATCACTGTTTTACGGCTGATCACTGAGACGGCCAGCGAGTCATTGAACGAGCCGTATAACATCAACTCTGCAATGGATATTAATATCCAAAATATAGTGAAAACACTATTAATTAGCACAGTAACAATATCGGCAGTTTAAGACATTAGCTTGTGAGCACAAAACACAAGATACTTCTCTTTTCAATATAAATAAGGCTTTATTGGATAAATCTAAGACATATAACCTAATCTAACACATAAACACACACATTCACACAAGTTGCAAAAAGAGAGAAAGCGAGGAAATAATTAGTTTAAGAGAATGAAAATGTGAAATCCCAAGTTTACAGCAATATGTGCAATTGCATAGATCTGAACAACCATCAATCACTTAATTAACCCTCGCATTGAGTTCCTCAATGAGGTTAAAATTTATATTAAATGCACCAGTTCAGCTAGAATCTGGAGGTACTTGCGTTGCCTGTGTCCGGGGTTCCCTTTGTTGTCGTCCTTGCAGAAAAGGGGGTTTCCCGCGGTTGCTGATTGGCTGGAAGTTCAG